GTTTCATTTTTTTGTTAGAGTTAGGCAGAAGAACATCATTCAGGTTTATAGTCACCCTTTCACAAGCTGTGAAAATGTTTAAATTGCCAAATCACAATATAATCTGGGTTACTCTTCACTTACTAATGATCAGAAATGGCAGAAAGCTTCTGTCCTACCAATAGTTGCAGGTCAGTGTCTGTGGAGTGGTAACAACACAGATACAAGTGGATGTTGGGATTTTCAAGAGGTTAATTATATTAAAAATGAAGCAGACTGTGATGAGGATGTATCACGATGGCGAGCAGACAACTGAGCTTATGTCTGGACTGAATTAAATTAATCCAATGTTCTCTGGCAGGTGGTTTGGATATTTACAGCAGGCCTTGTATCACTGGTTCCGGAAATCTGCACGTAAAGCCTTTCTTAGTGAACCTCAGGCTCGGACTGGGAAATGGGAGATTTTTTGTATTTTTGTATTTTTTTTATTTACTTATACACCAAATGAAAAGAAATATTTTGGGATGCCGCCCTCCTCTGCCTTTTTGGATGGCTTGCATTTTACTGGCAAATTAGCATGGGGGGTAGAGACCCTCCTCTCTGCTTCACTGGGCAGTTTGTGTAATGCTCACGTTGATTTCAGCCTTGGCATCACAAATGACACCTCCGCATTGGCCAGAGTGAAGAAGGATCTACCTCATTTAGCCCTATAGCTCACAATAAGCTGGTGATATGTGTGTGGGTGTGTGTATGTTTCAGGAGAAAAGCAGACTTTGAGAATTTAGGCAGTATGCGCCACTGTGGTTATTTCTGTGCACGCTCACAGCAGATGCATGTGTGTACGCTTCCTTACATGTGATAAGGATGGCAGGTGCCTTTTTTCAGGACAAAGAGAACAGCTTCATGGAACTGCAGAGAACAACACAACCCGGGTACAAACAAATGAAAGCACTCATAAGTCAACTTCTCTCTTCCACAAGTAGACAGCTAGGACACGCAGACAAAGGGCGCATTGATATTGGCAGTGACACACGGGTGGCAGCTGTACACATCATGTCATTCAGTTGTGGTTGCTGTGAAAGGAGTCTCTGTCAGACAAAGTGGAGTGTGGTGATGTGCTTAATCCTGTGTGGAAATGTAGTGTAAAAATAATTCAAGTTTTTGTTATAGAAATAATAACAAAACTGATGCTGCAGAGTCAACCGTTAAGCTAGTCTTGCTTAACTTTTTTTGGATACACATTATAAGAGAGTCGTGGTACTGAACGAATCCAAACACTCAATACATGTTAATAAAAATGTTTACAATGCTTTGGATGTAGTAAACACATATCGCTCCACTTTCACCGGGCTAACACAGGGACGACTATTCACACTCATGTTCATACCTGCAGAATTGTAGGATCACAGATTAACCTGACATGCATGTCTTTGGAAGAACCCCGAATATCCGGAGAGAGCCTACGCAAGCAATGGGAGAAAAAGCATAATCCACACAAAAAAAACCCAACAAGGACTCTCCATCAACCACTGCAGCACTGTGCCAACTACAAAAACAGGTGGATTACTTTTTTCTTGGCTTCCCGCATCTATGATGTGAATTAGAATGGCATTTGTGAAATGCTGAAAAGGGATGAGCAAGACGTGTGGTTCAAAACAGGTTTTTGGAGCAAAGTTACCAAACTTTTTAGGCTTTAAAAAAAATAAAATTATATATTGTAAAGTTATTATATGTTTGCATTGACCGTAGAAACAAATCTCATAACAGGTGCACTTTGGATCACAAAGAATATTTGCACTCAGCAGATGCATTTCTTGTTGTTTTTCTTGGTTGGTGGGCATAAAAACTGCATTGTGATGTCACTACCATCATTTACATAATTAAGGCTTAAAGTGCATTAACCTTAACAGCAGCAAAATATGCATTGCTATTTATTTTGAAGTAGGGCTGCCACGATTTGTCGACTAGTCACGATTACGTCGACTATCAAAATTGTCGACGACTGATTTAATAGTCGACGCGTCGTTTGAAACTTTGTACGATCACAAAAGACGCAGGAATAAGTGGCTGGATTTAAGAGTGTAATAACGGACTGAAACAGAAGATGGCAGCATTGCATGTACAAGGATGTCAGCTACCGTTAAACCCCGAAGAAGAAGAAGAAGAAGAAGAAGCAGCTGTGTCCCAGAATTCATAGCGCGGCCCAGCGCAGTTTCCAACAATGGCGGCAGCTAGTTAGTTTTAATGTTACTCTTATTATTCTTTCTGGGTCACAAAATAAACGTTTAACATATTTTCAGGCGAGAATGTAGCTGTGTAAACCTCAAATATCTGCTCAGTTTATCAGGACACCACATATTTTCAAAAGCGCTCCGACGTTTTCGGAGACATCTGTTACCCACTAGCTCGTTATCGAGCCGGGGGCGAGGCCACTAGCGCCGTGAGAACACCGGACTCCCCGCAAATCGTTTTCAAACCCACTGCCGTCTTTCGCTACTCAGGTTAAATATATATGAGTCACTTAGATAACTTAAAATGTTATTGTTTGGCTTTTTTTTTTTAGTATTTTATTTGTTCCTGAGTAAATCAGTTTGTCTGAGATTAAAGTTATAGTTTTTACACAGCTGAATAAACGTCAAGCAGACAGCTGATTATCAGAAGTGTGAGATGCTCCAGAATATACTCCAGTGTCCTGTTATATTTTAGATAGCAAGGAGTTTATTAAACTTCACCGAAACAATCTGCAAATTTCATTCAAATTTAATAAACTATCATCTTGTCTTTATTTTTAGTTAGCACAGACCTTAAACACTTAAAGCTGTAAGCTAATGATAGTTATATAAGAGCAGATGCTGCTGGTGCAATAAGCTGTAGTTTTACGTCCAATGGATGATGATCTGATTAGTCGACTAATCACAAAAATAATCGGTGACTAGTCGACTATCAAAATAATCGTTTGTGGCAGCCCTATTTTGAAGGCGTGGAAAACTTTGGCAATCTCCAAAGAAGATGTCCCGCAGTGGTTTAAAGCATGGAAACTGTGCACTGCCTGGTTTTTGTACAATGCCTATTTTTCTCTGCTCAGTGACAGTGATATACCGGTTTAGATTACACCGTCCCATCGAGAATTCAGGGCTTGTCATTTGTGATGTGTGATGCAACTGTATGGCAACCCTGTGCCCCAGAGCTAACACTCCCACTGATACCAAAGCTACTTTCCGGCACAGCACTCTTACCACCACAGGCCTTTCAGAAAACAAACCCATTACACCCACAGGCTGAGGACACACAAAAATGCACGTGTACACACACACAACACAACCTTAGGATTTGATTATATCCTCTGCAGCGTGGACACATATATATATATATATATATATATATATATATATGGCAGGGACTGCCATCCTGCTGCTTTGTTGCTCCCAAAGTTTGTCTCATTAGCACAAAATCTTTGAAGTATCAGTAAACATGCTCTGTTTAAAAGTTAATCGAATCAGCAATACACAACTGCTTTTGGAGGCTTAAAATTGAGGCTCTTTCTGTTAAGCTGTTTAAGAAAATAGATGGATTGATAAAAAAAACTGAGGCATGTATACAGAAAAGAACATGTGGCTTGTTCAGGCAGAAGACAGAGTAGAAGATACTTCAATAGATGATGTTGAGCGTAGAAGACGATTTTCATATCCAATGAAGCGTCACAGCAAAGCTTCTGTACCTCCACATAGAAGATCATTACAAAAACTTGGCCTTATGGTGCGTTCCAGATCCCAGTTCCCAGCCAGAATTTCCATCTGGAATGCCACCTCAATTTGGATTTCCCACTCACAACGTCAGAGCAGCCCCACTAACCCCGAGTTGAGGATCCAAGATGGGAGTGGTGAATGTAAACAGTAGTAAAACCTTTATTCTGTCCTGCCACTGTTGTGTATTTGTAACTCACTAAATAAGCCATACACAGAGAACTGACCAGGCTCTACCCGTGAAAGTGCTGGAGCGATGTAAACAAGTATTATGCTGTACAGCCAGAGATGCATGAATGGCTCTACCTTGCCAAGAGGCAAAACAAATCCTGCTTTTCTTTTGGTTTTCCAACCTTCCTACTGGAAAGCATTAACTGAAAAAATAAGTCAGTGTGTGTTGAAGTCCCCTGGTTCAAAGTCCTATCCCCCTTTGGAAATTTGTCAGTCTTTACCTTTCTACTGGAAACACTACAATATGCTGTTTTCGGTTTCCATATGAGTCATGTAAAAAGACTGGGAGAAGCGGCCAGCAGTCATTTAGGCTCGACTTGTTGCTTTAGTCTATTATTTAAAGGACTATTACCACATAATCTGCTTACAATACACAAAATCTCTGTCTGTGTGAGTTTGTTTCTTTGTCTGCCAACTCCTCCCACACAATCACGAGTTGAGCAACCAAAGCTGCCACACAGATACGTCTTGGGCCCCTGAAGGTTCTCAACTATATCAGATACTATGATATCATCAAGTTGCCTAGCAACGCTCTAGCAATGGGTTAAAAAGGCCTGTCTGCTTTTCACATTTTTACCTATAACACTTTATAAAAGCATCTACATCACACCATAACATATAATTTATATCCAAATTATGCATTATATGTTATGACGCCTGCTGGTTGCTTGGCAACCCTCTATCAACAGGCTAAAAGGTTGTGTTTTTTTGTCTTTTTTTGTACTGCATCATTTTTAATTCAAAACAGCCACATGTACCTGATATCCAACAAGCTAAATTATACATGACAATTTCATCATGCTGCCTAGCAACTACTAGGCTAAAGTGACCCATGACCTACAACAATAAAAGCATATTAGCGTTTTCATTTCCTGGCCAACAGCATACACAGCCTAAACAATGCTGTAGCAATAACATGTTGCCTGACTAATTCATAAACAAGAGAAAAAAATGTGAAAATAAACTTGGCGAACATATATAAAAAGAGTGAGATAGCGCCCAAAAAATAAGAATTTAAAACCACAGGAGAAAAAGCAGTACACTTACCTGTATCAGTGACAGGTTACTGAGGTCCAGTCTGAAAAGGTAGTTTCTGAATTAAGAAGAAAGGGAAATGATGTAAGTGACTGGCTCAAATCCAGCAAAATCTATTAAACAATGCAGATGAAGTATTAGAGACCAGCTGTCTGTCAGGGTTCCTGGGTCGGTGACCCAGTGTTTTCAGTTCACACTCACTGTTTATCTACTGCCTGTTCCACTTCCTGTTTTATTGTGTTAGCCTTGGTCTGTGTGTATTATGTTCAATCCTCTTCCCATTATCATTAGTTCATTATGTTCAGCTGTGTACTCACCGGTCCCTCATTATCATCATTATCACCAGTCTGTGTATTTAAGCCCTCTGTTCTACCCATTCAGTGTCGGGTCATTGATGATGTTGTTTCTGTCGTGTGTTCCGTCCAGTCAGTCAGTTAGCCAGCCAGTCTACCAGTCCGCTAAGTCCAGCCATCCATCCATCCTATCATCTGTTGTCTACATATTCAATAAACCTCGTTCTGCACCACGAGTCCTGCATGTGGGTCATCCCTTCCTCGCCTCCGCACACGAGTCCTGACAGAATGACCCGACCCGTGCCAAGAAGACACGCTTTTGACCCAGCGGACTCGGACCTCTACGAGCGGCAGGAGGTAGCGCTCTCCTTGTGGGCTGAAAAACTCAAGGAGAGACAGCGGCTCTTCGCGGAGCGAGAGCACGTCTTCGAGGGCACTCGCTTGGCTCTGGGCGGGCCTCGGAGACGCCGCGTTCCCCCACCTGCTGCCTCACCTGCACCGGAGCATCTGCCGCGGAGAGTGGACGTTTTACGCCGCGCTTCGGCCGCTCCCTCTCTCGCCACTCCGCTCCACGCTCACACATCACCTGCCTCATTCACCGGACCTTCAACCTCGCCACGGCACAGCGGCTCCGTCTTCCACCTCGGCTCAACAGAGGCTCCCGTGCCAGAGGCTCGGACGTGTACCCCGCCCGCTTCCTCCTCCCGGAGAAATCGGCGCACACGCCGCCATAAAACGGACCACTTTCAGCCACTCCCGATGGTGAGCTCCAGTGACTGTTTTTCGCACTCACCATCTGATTATTCACTCAAAACGCACAATAACCCCATCTCTGATTCGTGGGATGTTTCCCTCCTGGAAGATTCTGTGGACTGGGAAGATTTGTTCTGCTCTGCTCTCCCAAAGACTGTAAATAGTGGTGGCAGGAAAACCAGAACAATCCCCAATAAACCTGCTAACATCACACACCCAGTCATTATCTCCACTCCCGTCAGTCAGTCTACCCCCACACCAGTGCCAGCTCCCAGGAGGAGGGCAGCTGCGACCCAGTCTACCGCCACACCCGCTTCAGTTTCTCGAGTGGGGGTGACTGGTGTCCAGCCACCTCCCGTGCCTGTCCCAGCACCTAGGCTGAGGACGGCCAGGATCCAGCCTGACCCCCCTAGAGACTCAGCTGAGGCTCTCCAGCCAGTGCCCTCACGCTCTGGAGGCACGGAAGAGCTAATCAGTCCACCACTTCATCCACCTCCTGACCCAGCCTTTCACGCACTAGCTTTATCCCTGGTTAGGCTGGCTGAAGTGTCCCCTGCTCAGGCACCGGCCTTACTAGCTCAGGCTGTAGCTTTATCTCCCTCATTAGCTCAGTCTGTAGCCCAGCCATTAGCCACACCAACCTCAGCTCCGTCGTCAGCCTCACCTGCTGTTCAGCTTCCAGCCCCGTCAGTTCACTCACCTGCTCTCCAGTCCGCTCCTGTCCAGTCACCCGTAGCTCAGTCGCCTCCTGTCCAGTCACCCGTAGCCCAGTCGCCTCCTGTCCAGTCACCAGTAGCCCAGTCGCCTCCTGTCCAGTCACCAGTAGCCCAGTCGCCCGTCCACCAACCTGTTCAGTACCCAGAGCCTGCTGTGAGCTACCCTGCTGCCCAGCCAGGGGTTTCCGCACCCGCTGGCCCGGCCGCTCCTCAGCCAGGGGTTTCCGCACCCGCTGGCCCGGCCGCTCCTCAGCCAGGGGTTTCCGCACCCGCTGGCCCGGCCGCTCCTCAGCCAGGGGTTTCCGCACCCGCTGGCCCTGTCCTGTGTGTGCCAGGGGCTCCAGTGCCCACTGGTTCTGAGACCGTTTTCGCTGGAGGGCCCGAGGAGCCCGTCCGGCAACCTTCCTCGTCAGCTGGGGGTTCAGGAGAACCGCACCAGCCTCATGCCTCGTCAGCTGGAGGGCCCGAGGAGCCCGTCCGGCAACCTTCCTCGTCAGCTGGAGGTTCAGGAGAACCGCACCAGCCTCATGCCTCGTCGGCTGGAGGGCCCGAGGAGCCCGTCCGGCAACCTTCTTCGTCAACTGGGGGTTCAGGGGAACCGCACCAGCCTCATGCCTCGCTGTCACCTAGCTCTGCTTCTGCCTCGCCTGGCCCGGCCTCAGACCCTGCCTCTGCCTCGCCTGGCCCGGCCTCGGAGCCTTCGTCCTCGTCTGGCCCGGCCTCGACTTTGGCTTTTATTTCGCCTGCTGCAGCTCCGGCCTGTGCTTCGCCTGATCCTGCCTCGTCTGGTCCTGTGCCCACCGGGCCATGGCCAGCACGCCTAAAACTGGAGAGCCGCCGCTGCCTTCCGCGCGGCCGGCCCCCTGAACTGCTCCGTCTCCTTCGCCGCCGCCGTTGCCTTCCGCACGGCCGGCCCCCGGACCGCCTTCGCCTGAGTGGCCGCCGTTGCCTTCCGCACGGCCGGCCTCCGGACCGCCTTCGCCTGAGTGGCCGCCGTTGCCTTCCGCACGGCCGGCCCCCGGACCGCCTTCGCCTGGGTGGCCGCCGTTGCCTTCCGCACGGCTGGCCTCCGGACCGCCTTCGCCTGAGTGGCCGCCGTTGCCTTCCGCACGGCCGGCCTCCGGACCGCCTTCGCCTGGGTGGCCGCCATTGCCTTCCGCACTGCCGGCCTCCCGAACTGCGTCCACGTCACCGCCGTTGCCTTCCGCACGGTCGGTCCACCGGAACAGTCTCGCCTCGGGCCACGTGGCCGCCCACCCGAACTGTCTCTGTGTGGCCTCCGTCCCTCCGTCCTGGGCCCCCTCCGCCCGCCCTGTTCTGGTTCTTTTTCGTTTGGCCGTCGGGTGCCGGCCTTTGAAGGGGGGGGTCCTGTCAGGGTTCCTGGGTCGGTGACCCAGTGTTTTCAGTTCACACTCACTGTTTATCTACTGCCTGTTCCACTTCCTGTTTTATTGTGTTAGCCTTGGTCTGTGTGTATTATGTTCAATCCTCTTCCCATTATCATTAGTTCATTATGTTCAGCTGTGTACTCACCGGTCCCTCATTATCATCATTATCACCAGTCTGTGTATTTAAGCCCTCTGTTCTACCCATTCAGTGTCGGGTCATTGATGATGTTGTTTCTGTCGTGTGTTCCGTCCAGTCAGTCAGTTAGCCAGCCAGTCTACCAGTCCGCTAAGTCCAGCCAGCCAGCCAGCCATCCATCCTATCATCTGTTGTCTACATATTCAATAAACCTCGTTCTGCACCACGAGTCCTGCATGTGGGTCATCCCTTCCTCTCCTCCGCACACGAGCCCTGACACTGTCAGGTTAACACAAAGTGGATTAAAGCACAAACTGTACTGCCCGTCACTCTTGGGCCATTGTTTTCTGTTAGTATTTCAGTCTTTGGTTTTACACTTTTTTGTGATCATGTATGTCTACGCTTTTAACAGGGTCAATCCAGACAAAACTTTAACTCATATCATGCCAAGAGAATAGACACACACACACACACACACACACACACACACACACACACACACACACACTCTACTGCGGCGTGACATATTTCTTCCAAATCCTTTGCTCCTGCCAAATCCAAAGCTTAACTTGGTCCAGCGAGGCCTCAGCAAAGCACTTTAAAAGCGTCATTATCCGAAAACCGCACTGTATGAGTGAGTCAGAAAGGGTATCACATTCTCAGTAATGTGCTCTGTGGGGTGAAAAGCTGAGTGGATTTACAGTTTCTTACCTGGCACCCACAATAAGCTCATTCCTAGTCAGGTCAAGGGTGAGCTGGGAGTAGTCTCTCACACCAGGGTGGGAGAAGGATGAAATCCACGGACTGAGCGCTGAGAGAGAGAAAAGGGGGGAAGGTTAGCAGAAGATAAATCATGTCGTGAGATAAAAGCAGTGACATTTACAAACAAAACTCATAAAAGGGTATAGTTTACTAATGCACGCAAAAACCTTTCCTATTTGGCATTTTATGCACAAGTGTAGGTGTTTACAGCGATGGTTAATTGACCCGATGAAAATCAAATTTATTAAGCAAAATGCCAAATGTTTGCCAGCAACAGCCTCTGTAAGTGAGGTTATTTTATGATGGCTTTCATTATATTTTAACTGTTGCTCAGACTAAACTCTGGCAACACTGCACAACTATAGATTAGAAAAATGTTAGAGTGACCAATGCACCAATTATGAATAAGACACATTCATAGTTGCAGCTGAAGTGGTAAAAAAGGGCACCAAACAGTGAAGGAAAAGCTTCCTGCTACGTGACGCTGTCTCCTACAGAGCGGGACAAAGTGTCCAGGCCCCATCAGGCAACACAACCCCGATCCAACCTGACATTCAGACAAACGCGGCTCTGTGTGGGGCACGAGGCTGAAATCTCAACGCTGTATGAAACTGGCATTTACAAATCAAAATTTTCAGAGGGGCCGCCTGGAGCTTTTAATGCCACACTCAAAACTCCAGGAAGAAAAAAAAGAGCATTTTCTCTACGAACTTTGTGTGGGCCTTTAAACGATTTCACCACATGGAAGTTTGCGGGGCTTAAGGGGGATTTGCTATGTTTCCGATGCTGTAAACGACATCACAGTTGTTAGTGGCAAATGAGATTTCTTGGAGCAAGTTAAAAAGGCGTGTTAGACACATTTGAGCCATTTCCACAAAACTAGTCCAAAAACGGACAAGGAAAGAATCAGTAATGATGTTAAGCAACTTTATGGTTGTCCACTAATTTTCTGTATCAGAGAAAAAAACGTTCATGACCATTGCATGACCCCCCACTGAAAAAAATAAAATAAAATCTTGATTTTCTCCTTCATCAGGGAAGTGATCATCAAACATTTAAAACCTTAAAACGTTCATTTTCTTCTAAAATTAAAAGTAGCTCATAAAAGCTCCAGGCTACGAGTGAGAAACTACATCAAAGTGCTGGAAGAAGTTGCCAAGAACAGCGAAACAAGTCTCCATCACGTAAAGGAGATACATTTTTAGGATTGATGGGAGCCCATATGGCTCTGTCATCTGCAAACATATCCAGAGATGCGAAAAACAGAAGACAGAAGGCGGCAGCTACAGTACGGTATGGTGCTCTTAATTTAAGATACAGAAAAACACACGCATACAATCTTTAATTAAAGGTTCCAGTATTGACAGGAGACTTCACTGAAGTGATAGTGTTTGCAGTCAGATGTGGATTTGGGCACTCGTCACCAAGCTGCTGTGAGACCGAACTTCATTCTAGTGTTTCTGTTTTTTGTCCCACTCTTGTGAGATGTGAGCAGGGCTGAATCCATTTTCATAAATACAGTGAATATTTAAAAGTCTGCAATTTTCAGTTTGCAGCACAACTGCAATATATTCACAAGATAAGGCCTCTGTTATTCTGTATTTGAAAACTGCTGAAAAGAACAAAACCAGCGCATTTGTCCCTCTCTTAATAGTTTTGGACTTCTCTGCATCTAAAAAACAACAAATCAAAATGGACTAAATTAAGTTTTATAGCAGACATTAAGGAACCAGGTAGAAATTGTTGCATGTTTTTTCCATTAACAAGAATAAAAAACAAAGTAGAAAAAAAGCATAATAATAATAATAATAGTACTTAGACTTATTTTAGACATATTATAAACCACAAATACAAGCATAGGTTTTAACTTACAGTACATGTTTTATACAAAATGCTATATATTTTTAACAATGGCTTCTGGTTTCCATGACAATGGCAATCTACAGTGTAGTGCCTAGCATCTCAGAAAACAGCCACACCACCTTGTGTGCTGCAAATAACAACATAATACATTGTTAATTATGATAACAACAGCTCTTGTTCTATTAGGAATATAATAAGAAAATGAGCAGTGTGCTGCAGGGACACACAAATTTATCAACCAGCTAGATCAGAGTAGCAGTGCAGCTTTTAAAAATTAATAATACACCGGAAAGCACTTTTACAGACAGGATTAAATCTCTGATAATCACAATAAATCATCGGGTGTCCCAAGGCTATTCTAATACGATGCAAATTCTGCAAGAGGCCATCTCTTATTCTCTCCATAAATATTTATACTACACTTATCCACATACAGTGGATTGTTTCAATTTCACAGTCGGCCATGCATCCATATGGTTTGACCATCTTTGACATGTAGGGTGGGTGTAAAAAACAACAACACAACCATAGAAGGCCAGTGCAAGGAAGCGAGCGGAACCATCTGTGCATCACTCTGATTAATGGCTGCAGAGGCTGAAGGTTGGGGGGAGCGTGGGGGACGCAGGCCGCCTTTAGCTGCACAGTCTTATGTAAACAGACCTGAAGTTGATTTAAAGAATCCAACATGATCCCGGGATCACGCAAAGCCACGGCATGTGTGAACAAAGCTTGTATGTGTGTGAACGGTGTCCCCATAACTGGGAGGAATGAACATGATTTGAACGCCAACTCAGATCATTAAAAGTCTCTAAATCAATCCCTTAAACACACACAGGCTCATGGAATTATTGGCAAAGAACAAAAAAAGTTTGTTTTAAAGGCTCAATTACTGCGAGGTTTGTGTTTGTGTGAAAATCAAACTCTGATGTGAACTACAAGACAGTCATTACCAGCTAAAGATGGGTTAGCCGAGGGTGAAATGAGCTCCGTTTCTCTTGTTCTTGTTTTTTTTTTTTGCTTTGTTTGTTGTTTTTCACGAAAATGAGTTTCAAGAAACTAATCCTTCATTTTCCAACAGCTCATAATGGGTCAGTGAAGGTGTCATCAAAGTGTGAGGAGTTGGGTACCTCCTAATATGAATAGTTAAATCAATAAAATATAAACTGACCTCCAAAAGGCTTTAAGGAGATCTTTCTTTTTTGACATTGTAAGCACTGTGAAGATACTGATTTGCATAACTGATGAAAAAAAAAGAAAAGGCAAGGCAAGTTTATTTGTATAGCACAATTCAACAACAAGGTGATTCAAAGTGCTTTACAGAGACATTAGAAACAAGAACAAATAAAAAGCATGATTTAAAATTTATTAAAACAAGCAAACAAACAAACTAATTAACAAACAAACAAAACAGTATATAAAATCAAAACAGATAAAATCAGTAGTTAAATGTAAGTTTTGAAATTTAAGCTTAAAAGTGTGGATTTGGTGCTTTATTCAAATGCAGCTGAGAACAGGTGAGTCTTCAACCTGGATTTAAATAAACTGAGTGTTTCAGCTGATCTGAGGCTTTCTGGGAGTTTGTTTCAGATATAAGAAGCATAAAAGCTGAATGCAGCTTCTCCGTGTCTGGTTCTGACTCTGGGAACTGATAAAAGACCGGATCCAGATGACCTGAGGGATCTGGATGGTTCATACTGGGTCAGGAGGTCACTGATGTATTTTGGTCCTAAACCATTCAGAGCTTTATAGACCAGCATCAGAACTTTAAAGTCTATCCTCTGACGGACAGGCAGCCAGTGTAAAGACCTCAGAGCTGGACTGATGTGGTCCACTTTTTTGGTCTTAGTGAGGACTCGAGCAGCAGAGTTCTGAATGAGCTGTAGTTGTCTGACTGATTTTTTAGGTAGACCTGTAAAGATGCTGTTACAGTAATCAAGCCTACTAAAGATGAATGCATGGACTAGTTTTTCCAGGTCCTGTTGAGACATCAGATCTCTTATCCTTGAAATATTCTTGAGGTGATAGTAAGCTGACTTTGTTATTGTCTTAATGTGTTTTTCTAAGTTTAGGTCTGCATCCATCACTACACCCAAATTTCTCGCCTGGTTTGTGGTTTTTAGATGTATAGATTGAAGTTCTCTGGTGACCTGTAATCGTTTTTCTTTGGCGCCAAAGACTATTACCTCAGTTTTGTTTTTGTTTAGCTGGAGAAAATTGTGGCACAACCAGTCATTAATTTCCTCAATGCATTTACCAAGAGCCTGTACAGGGCCTTGGTCTCCTGGTGACATTGTGATATATATTTGTGTGTCATCTGCATAGCTGTGATAGTTTATTTTGTTGTTCTTTATAATCTGTGCCAGTGGGAGCATGTAAATGTTAAACAGAAGGGGTCCCAAGATGGAACCTTGGGGAACTCCACATGTGATACTTGTCTGCTCGGATGTGAAGTTACCTATTGATACAAAGTATTTCCTGTTTTCTAAGTATGTTTTGAACCAGTTTAGTACAGTTCCTGAAATACCTGCCCAGTTCTCCAGTCGTTTGAGTAACATGTTGTGGTCAACTGTATCAAATGATGCACTGAGATCCAGTAAAACTAAGACTGACATTTTTCCACTGTCTGTATTCAGACATATGTCATTAAACACTTTGGTCAGAGCGGTTTCAGTGCTGTGGTTCTGTCTAAAACCTGACTGGAAGGCATCGTAGCACTTATTCTGTTTTAAGAAGTAACTGAGGTGTTGAGAAACTGCTTTTTCAATGATTTTACTTAAAAATGGGAGATTTGAGATCGGCCTGTAGTTGTTCATTTGTGTCTTGTCAAGATTGTCCTTTTTCAGTATAGGTTTTATTACAGCAGTTTTTAGTGATTCTGGAAACACACCTGATAATAAAGAAAAGTTGACGATCTGTAACAGGTCTGACTCCAAAGTCTTTGAGACCTTTTTGAAAAAACTTGTTGGCAGGACATCTAAACAGCAAGAGGAGGAGTTCAGTTGACCTAAGATGTCCTCCAGGTCTTTGCTGTTAATAGGGTCAAACTGTTTGATGGTGTTTAAACAGTTTTTCGGTGGACACAGTACATATTCTGGATCTGCTGTTGATGTACCAATTGCTTGTCTAATTTTTTGGATTTTTTCTGTGAAGAATTTGGCAAAGTCATTGCAGGCCATGGTTGAATGA